ACCAAACTCACTCACTTACTTCACGCCTCTATGACGTTTGGCACGGGTGGCCCAGTTGTCAAGGCGCCACGTTCTGTTGTGCGGAATTGCGTCCCCTGGACAGACCAGGAATCTGTGATAGTGGTTTCGAATCCCGGTTTGCACCGGTTATGTTTCTGTATTTGTCAGCACTATACCTGTGCTTGTGACACCTGCATCACTTTGGGCTCTCATACAGCATCAGCACTTCTTAAGGCTGAGAGAATATGATCAGCGTCTAATGGAGTCTGGCCGGGTCTTTAAAATGAGCATTGTTGGCCATTTTTCTCGAATATGTCATGCTTCGTGCAAATTCCTTGCTATTCGAACAAAAACTGCTTGGTTGCGTTTCACAAAATTGAAAACACTCTTTCTCTTTCCGTAACCTCCATCATTAAAACAATTCTGTCCTGCTCAGCGAGGTCCCTATTCTGAGAATATTCTTTTCCACAGATACGAGGACTTGTAGATAATATGCATCGACTGTCATATACGAGGACACGTACGGCATATGCATCATTTGTCAGACACGAGGATTTGTATAAAGCATGCATCATTTGTCAGACACGAGGACTTGTATAACACATGCATTATTTTTCAGATGTACGGGAGTACACATCATTTTTATCCCTTGTCACATAATAGGACAGATGTCATCACATCTTCAGTATCAGCATCATTTGATGTGGAGACACTTACTTACTGCATCACATTATCACTGTTGTCATGTCATCTACATGCAATGATAATTGAGGATATATCATATCGGTTAATTGCATGTAACACCTCATAATATCTTAAAATAATGATATAATTCTATGCGTAATAATAACATCTGAATTGATCATAAATCATCCAGACATAATTCCGTTTTTACTGCGAAAGTTCAAATAGTTATAGAAGGTATGCATTCCATTCATAAGGTCGCTCTATCATGTCCCATCAATAACTACAGAAAGAGTGAAAGTCAAAGGTTCCAAACAGATTTACACCACAGCAAGTATGGCAAGTATGCAGGCTTGTAAAGGTCTCGTGGGATGATGTAACAGAACTACAAACCATCCAGCACAACTGTGCTAATACGTAATTACGATATTTGTAGCGACACAATTATGTAATCAGTAAATGTCTTTTGCGTTCATTATCTGAAATCATTATTTGAAGCCGAGGAGCCATGTGAAACTCGTTCAGAAAGTCGATCTGTAGGGCAACTGTTTCATGGCTGCGTGACTAACATTTGTAGATGAATTACAGTCGTTTTCTAATATTCATTTCGGTTTACCTGAAAGAACATTTTTAATGTGAAGAAATATTGCGGCAGCTCAAGTTTTTGAGCAAGACTCTTGCTGAAAAGTTGCTTGATCAGGGTTATTCCATCCAAGGCCTCAATAAAGCTTCAAAACGTGTTACGGTAGACATGTGAAGAAAATTTCAAGATTTCCGAATCAGAGTTTGAAGTAATGTGCAATGAAATTCCTTATTTTGGCTTGTACAATATGTTCCCGTGTGTTTTCCACCTCTATGACTGATTTCAGGTTGCCTTGGCATGGTATCGAGACCAGTTCCAATATAGGGACTTGGGCCCTTTCCTCACACCTGGTATACCATAAACATGCTCATGATATAGTCAGAAACGTACAATGGATTCCGCCTATATCACAGATTTTTTTATTTATATCGAAAAGTATTTCATCGCTTATATCATCATATGTAAGGACAGAGGGTTCAAACAACGCATCGGACACAATAAGTGAGTGAGTTTTGTTTTACGACGCTTTTAGCAACAGTCCAGCAATATCACGACAGGGGACACCAGAAATGGGCTTCAAACATTGTACCAATGTGGGGAATCGAACCATCAAACACGGCAATAAAACTGCGAAGAAAGTTATCAATAAAACCCCGTGAAGGTCCGGGTTAGAATGAACCTTCAGTAACCCACGCTTGTCGTTAGAAGCGACTAACGGGATCGGGTGGTCAAGCTCGCTGGCTTGGTTGACATGTCATCGGTTCCCAGTTGCGCAGGTTGGTGCTCATGCTGTTGATCACTGGATTGTCTGGTCCAGCCTCGATTATTTACAGACCACCGCCATATAGCCGGAATATTGCTGAGTGTGGCGTAAAACTAAACTCACCCACTCACTCGTTATCAATAAATGAAATAGAAACAAAATAGGGCCATTTTATAGAAAATACCATTCCATTACCAGAACGGACGTATATCGCATAATCATAACTCGCAAATCAAGGTGCACATGTAGATTCGGTTTGTAAAACCTTCTTCTGATGAAGGATGAATGGTAAAAATATATGTTAAACATTATCTTCCAGTGTCAACAATATTGTGTCAATCAACTTTTATCCTTGAGCCTTAGGTCTGAATTCAATAAATATTGTTTTTTGTGAGTGTTAATTTTCGGAAATTACCACAGGAATTTTTATAATGAATACTGAGATCAATTATAAACCCATTATAAGAAATGTTAATCAATGCAAAGGAGCCTGGCTGAGCTACAGGATGCTTGATTACTGGGATAATGGGATCCACATGTGTAGAAGAAAATGTTAGTCAGTTATGCCTTTAATGTCAAGACCTATTTCACTCGTGTGGTGTCAACATCACTTCCCAGTACAATGCATGTTAGACATTTTCAATGGTGATGGTGAATTGAAGCTATTTGACTCTATAGTGTTGCGCGTCTTAGAAAAGTAAGATATGACGTCTTCATGATTGTTTAAGATTTTACACATGGATTAAAATGTACACAACATCATCCTGGGAAGCTTGCCATTCTGTGAATTTTCTCTGTAGGGTTGATCATTACATACGGGATTACACAATGCCATTTAGAAAATGGTCAAATGTAACATATGTTATATTTGGGATTACACTTTCTTAATAAAGTACTGGGCCGGTATTCATAAAGCTTCTAAGAATTTTCTTAGTTTTTAACTTAAGTTTCCTTAAGAATTCTTAAGTTTAAGAAAAATTCTTAGTTTCTTTCTTAACCCAAACTAAGAAAAAATCTTAGCTAAAAATGTTCTTTTAGCATGATGTGATCGTATGTACCGGTATTAGCGTGAAAGTTTGCGTTTCAGTGAGCCGCCATATTGGATAACTAAGAATTTTCTTAACTAGTTAGGTGTCCTCATGAGGTTTCTTAAAGTTAAGAAGAAAACTAAGAACAAAATAACTTGTCTAAGTTTCTTCTTACAAGTTAAGAACGTTGTTATGGAAACTAAGAATTCTTAGTGGATTTAAGAATTCTTAACTCTTAAGAAAATTCTTAGAAGCTTTATGAATACCGCCCCTGATTCTAGTACTTTTGTTGAGTTGAGTTCCATCCGCTTGATCCAGAGGGTGTGGCTTCGAATCCTGGATGGAATTCAATCCAGCAAAAGTACAAGAATCTGTACTTTACTAAGAAAGTGTAATCCCAAATAGAACACATGCTACATAACATGCGTTTTAATATTTCTTTAAACGTAAATGAGTAAGAAAATATATAGAAGAACTCGGAAACTACGACACTAGGTTATCTGTTTCTTTTATTTTTTTACGAATGGTGTACGTCTCATAGCTCATTGGTTATTTTGAAATAATGTTGCTATTGATCATTAGTATACGTTAGGGTGAACTATGTATCAGGTTTCACAGTATTACCGGTATGTACACCAGAAATGGCCTTCACACATTGTACCCGTGTAGGTGTAAATGTGAGAGGAAATCCCTATGTGAGGAAAGCGTACACCATTTTAACCACGATGAGGTAGCCCTGGTTAGTTTTGGTGGTCTAGGGTTCTTTTCTATCTATAGTACTAGTGGTTCAAGCTTTTCCTTATCACATCGACGGACGGGGCTGGATTCCTAAAATGAGTACACTGTGTAAAGTTCGTTTCCTAATTACAATTGTCATTCCTTTGTCTTATTAAGTCCCTGTTTCCAGTTCTAAATTGTGACAGTGAGATCGGAAGTCACGATGAATTGACAGTTTGTCAGCACAGATAAAAAAATGTTCCATTGCTTTGTACTAATCATCAATCGTGACGGTGACAGATCGATCTCACGGAATACACGATACGTGATCAACCAGGCACGTCTGAATCCAGTAATCAGGTAAGTATCGTATATTCGTAGCACATATACCGATTGACTCGGGCGGGGGTTAAAGCGTTCGCTCGTCACGTCGAAGTTCCGGGTTTGATTACCCACATGGGTACAATGTGTGAAGCCCATTTCTGATGTCCCCCGCCGTGATATTGCTGGAATATTGCTAAATGCAACTCACTCATTCACTCTGATTCATTCAAGAGCAATGTCATGTTCGCTCATGACAGTCTGAAAGAAAGTTGACGTAAATAAGAAAAAAGTCAGTTATAGGTAACTGTTTTATGTTCCAAGCATACATATTATTCCAAAACATTACAAATATCTTATTGTATCGTCACAGATGAATATGTAAACATCAATATCTTGAGGGTCTCCTTTTAAATGGATTTAGTATTCAAAATTCAGTACAAGCAAACTCACAAATATACAACATATACTCATTACGTTTTATCGGAAATACAAAAGAAAAACAGTGTCAGGCTGAATCTTTTAACAGCTATATAGCTTTTAAAAGTAACGTTTTAATGCAGTTCACATTAAGCATGGTCTGAAATAGCACAATGTGTACTAAATAACATTAAAACGTTATATTATTTTTCACAGACGTTATTTTCGTAATATGTACAATGTAATTAGATTACGTAACATGAGACTTTGAAATGTGGTTCATTACCACACACAGATGCCACAATGAATGTCATGCACCATCAAAGAGATAGCATTAAGTGTGAAGATCTTATTAATTCAACTATGGCGATCGGAGATAGTCTTCACACATTGTACCCTAGACTAACGCTTAGTCCCTGAATATATATAATTTTGATAGTAACAAATAGACACATTTAAATTGAAAAGGAGTTGGGAGATTCAGGGGAAACCTGGGGAAATCTAGACTTGCTTCATTTAGGGATCTAAATGTGCTAGGCATTTGGGAAAATAATGTGGTTCAGGGACTGCGAGACAGAATAATTGTACCCGTGTAGGCGTAAATGTGAGAGGAAATCCTTATGTAAGGAAAGCTTACACCATTTTAACCACGATGAGGTAGCCCTGGTTAGATTGGGTAGCCTACGGTTCATGTGGTATCTAAAGTGAAATGATGCATAATTGATACAATTAGTGCCTTCGTCTGGATATCAGAAATATAATATTTGCAACCATACAAATAAATAACGTGACACTTAAGGCGACCAAACCCCACGTTAGTGCTCCATACTCAGAACTCACTTCCTGTACTTGAAAGTCCAGCTGGGGGAGTATAGAGTTCCAAAATTCTACCTGTCGGGGACGAGGCTTATATGCTACTGTTATTGTACCGTTTCCATCCGCACCATTGATTTTCATATATGTTTGGTTTTGGCTTTCGAAGTGGTCGAAGAATATCTCATCAGCTCCAACAGATGAAGATGGTTTTCTAAATAAGAAGATGTAAATTTAAGTAAAGTGGTCCCAAAAGCAGTTCAATTATTGGCCACACATTGATGACTGTATAATACATATTAAAAAGTGAAATAATCACTTTGCTGTATAATTTCGTACAAATTATTCCTTTCTAAGTTGAAAAATAGTTATGCTTTACCTCAATATTAATTCAGGAAATTTGAAAACATTGATGATCTTTTCCTGCAAATGCAATTTGCACCATTCTTTCGTTCTTGCAAACTTTGTTGGCTTTTCAGATTAGAACAAGTCGCCAGTGAAAATCTGCTTGTTACATGTGCGTGACTTGGTCAGTGACGGACTGTGAATCTCCATACATATTTGTTTTTACCTGACCAAGACGCGATTACTGACAGCCATAATAGAATTAAAACAACAACATATGCTCACTTCTATGTGACAAAGAACATCTACCCTACTGAGGTCATAGGAACAGTTTCAATAGCCGCTACTGGGTATAAATACTCCCCATCAAAAGTTTTGACTCACTAGTGTAAATGTAGCCACTTACTTCAGCCAACTGTTCTGAACTAGATTTAGTAAAATAATCCATACAGTTTAAAGGTACTGTTTATACATGAGCTAATATATTGTAAAACAAATTCGTGACGTTCAAATTTAATTATTTTGTCATGTGTTCAATAAATGATGAAACTCGATTTTTTTATCAAAACTTTACACCAAAACGCTGCTGTTCACATGCACGATATTTGCACATGCTTTTCAGCAATTTTATGCATGATCCTCGTGCAATTAATTTGCATAAGGTTTGCAGATGTTTCCCCCAAGTTAGTGGAGAAATTCATCTTCGTGTAACCATATGTACATAAATAACATATAGTGATTGATTTAAGCGAGTCTAAACTTTTGATGGGTAGTATATATTTGATACTGATCACGGGCTTGCCTGGTTCAGGGTCGATTAATAACACGTCGCCCTCGTAAGGCAGAAATAGTTGGATTAGAAAACAAATTCTTGAAAATTATTTTAGCGGCGGGTGCTAGCGGTGGTGGTTACCCTTTCAGGAACACCTGATGACAACACTGATTTTGACAGGTCCAAGTACAACTTATCAGACTGTTTGCCTTATATACCCACTGGATGACCATTATTACTGCCTGTCGCTGACGCTTTGATTTCCACTATAATTCATGTTTAATAAATGGTGCGTTTAGAAATGGCTTCAAAGTATCTGTTTGCAATTATACAGGTATTTTATGACAATTGCAACTTGTTCAGATGAGTTTCTTACCCTGTCTTGACGAAGTTGCTCCACATGTTCATGAAGACTTTGCTGACCTGTCGATCTTCGTCCGTATAGTTGTACAGGGGATGTCCAGAGAAAGGACAGCCGAACAGGTAGAACAGGTCTCGTCCATGTGGGACGCCTACAATAACATAGATGTAACATGTATCTTGTCAACGATCTTAAAAACAGTTCCTGAACGGCACTTGTCCACCATGCCAACCAAATTGGAGAAAATAACAACATCGTTCGGAAACAGATGTAAACTATGTCTTGCAATAAAAACAATCTCTCCTGAAAGAAGATTTGGACGATTCCATATATGAGCTTAAATTTAAGGAGATTCCTGCTCTTTAAAATGTCCTTATTCCCCCTGAACAGTTACAGCTACAAGGGTTTAGTTGTGTACAGATGAAATTGATTTAAGGTTTCGTGTGTATCTGACCCGTGAAGGTCCGGGTTAGAATGAACCTTCAGTAACCCATGCCATGCGACTGACGGGATCGGGTTGTCAGGCTCTCTGGCTTGGTTGACACATGTCATCGGTTCCCAATTGTGCAGAGCGATGCTCATGCTGTTGATCACTGGATTGTCTGGTTCATACTCGATTATTTCCAGACCGCCGCCATATAGCTGGAATATTACTGAGTGTGGCGTAAAACTAAACTTACTCACTCACTCGTGTGTATCTGCATATGAGTGTGTGTTTTCCTGCATACACTCGTGTATGAGCGGTTGCATGTAGTGTAGCAAGTTAGAGCTAATGCCATTTTAATAGTGTTAGCCAGTGCATATACTATGTCGCGCTGCAACATGTAAACCAGACTCCGTCATAGTGAACCGACTCCAAGGCGACCTATCCCTGCATATCATTAATGTCGAGTGGCAGGCATGGTAAAAACAAGAACCACATTTTCACACATGTTGGTTAGAGCTCGGGGACTGAATCACCAACCTACCCGTCATCTTCCCCTCTGTAAATAATCGAGTCTGGACCAGCCAGTCTAGGGATTAACTATATGAGGATCGATCTTTGCAGTTGGGATGCGATTACATGTGTCAACCAAGTCAGCGAACCTGACGTCCCGATCCCGTTAGTCCCCTCTTACGACAAACATGGGTTACTGAAGATCAATATTCTACCCCGGATCTTCACGTGTAGTATGTAATGGCAATGGAGTCATTACTATGTGAAGACTTTACCCATCCATGGTGGTGCCGTTGAAGCAGGTGAATGGTAATCGAAGGAATAGAAGTAGAGATGATCCGTCCTAGCAGCCAGGCGCTTGGCGACATCCACGACAGGGGCAACAATTACCGAGTCACCTAAGATCTACACAAAAGAGTATATTAAACCTTTACAACAGACCGATACAAGTGTATTTTATTATGATAAATTGTACTCACCATGGCATCTTCTTATCTTAAAGCCAAAACAGTGGTAAGCACGTTGTATTCACTATATGATAAGAAACACTGGTATACACACCCAATACATTCACTATATGATAAGAAACACTGGTGAACACACCCGATACACTGGCAAACACACCTGACACATTCACCATATGATACGAAACACTGGCAAACACATCTGACACATTCACCATATGATACGAAACACTGGCAAACACACCTGACACATTCACTATATGATCAGAAGCACTGGCAAACACACCTGACACATTCACTATATGATACAAATTCTGGTAAACACACCTGACACATTCACTATTTGATAAGAAGCACCGGCAAACACACCTGACACATTCACCATATGATAAGAAACACTGGTAAACACACCTGACACATTCACTATATGATAAGAAATACTGGCAAACACACCTGACACATTCGCTATATGATAAGAAGTACTGGTAAACACACCTGACACATTCGCTATATGATAAGAAATACTGGCAAACACACCTGACACATTCGTTATATGATAAGAAGTACTGGTAAACACACCTGACACATTCGCTATATGATAAGAAATACTGGCAAACACACCTGACACATTCGCTATATGATCAGAAATACTGGCAAACACACCTGACACATTCGCTATATGATAAGAAGTACTGGTAAACACACCTGACACATTCCCCATATGATAAGAAACACTGGTAAACACACCTGACACATTCACTATATGATAAGAAATACTGGCAAACACACCTGACACATTCGCTATATGATAAGAAGTACTGGTAAACACACCTGACACATTCATCCTATGATAAGAAGCACTGGCACACACACCTGACACATTCACTATAATATTATGATAAGAAGTACTGAGAAACACACCTGACACATTCACTAAATCGAGATTTTGCATATAAATACAATAACTTTGACCCTAACCTGTATGGTACAAGCACTAGAAATACAAAGATTGAAATCGATCTGAACACTTAACTAAAATCTCGTCGAAAAAACCCATTATGAAACCTTTTATGCCGTTGTGTTTTCAAAGGTCAAAGAAACAGCTAGTATATGTATATATTAGTTGAGATGAACATACCATCAGGATATGATAGTATACAGTACAATTTATCAGTTGTGATGGATGTATCTTTAGGATATGATAGTACGGTCAATAATTATGTAAGGAGAATTAATTAATTTCAGTGTATAACTATATACTCACGTCAGCAATAGCAGTTATATTAGCTGTCACGTTGTCGCGATCATCCCACGGCCGGTACTCATGTATAACGAGATTAGATTTTACTGGAAAGATTAAAGAGCAGATGGAACTCAAAGAAATGAAAATGGCGGCGGGGTAGCCTAGTTGTTAAACCGTTCGCTCGTCACGCCCAAGACCTGGGTTCGATTTCTCAAATGGATATAATGTGTGAAGCCCATTTCTGGTGTTCCCCGCCGTGATATTGCTGGAATATTGCTAAAGGCGGCGTAAAACCTCACTCGCTCTGGCGTACAATACTCTTATCATTCAGTGGGGTTGGGCACTTTATTGTCTGCAACAACAATGAAAATCTTCGTGTTGAATATATCCGATGCAAGCATTGCCAGTCATAAAGTACCTAATTTGTTGTTATCCCCCATGGACAGTCCAAACCTGCCAGCTGTAAGCTCTACCCTTTCTGTCCCCCGTATCCACATAGTACCTGCAGAAAGAAATATTGCCATATATTCAAGTGCATCCTCGATAATCTCCAGGGTATACTTTCCGATAAATCTCCACTATACCCTGGATGCATCTACGGCTCGAGCCGATGATTTTATTACCTCCCTTTGCTGGCTCCGCATTCTCACAGTAGCCAATCAGATAAGCCGCCGTTACAACCGAGCTTGCAAGTGTCAACAAAGATAGCGGTCGCAGCCGCGAAAGTTTGTTCGCAGTGCGACTCAGATTTTGGGGGAAACATACAGACAAAATGACAGGTCTGAAATCTTAAAGAAGTATATGCATGAACTCCTTCTACCTCTCTCAGAGTACCTCTGCAACAATATATTATTGTGTTGTCAAGTTTAATCGGTTAGATACTTTGAAAGGCTAAAGTGAGCTGTGATTGGTACGTTCAACTTCCCAGCGTAGACACCTGATTGGATAAAAAGCCAGCAAAGGGAGGAAATAAAATCATCGTCTCGAGCCGTAGATGCATTAAGGGTATAGTGGAGATTTAGCGGAATTTAACATTACTGGAAGAGCTCATAAAATATCTAACATGTAAAATTGCTTCAGCTTTGTTGTTTGAATGCAAACGTCAATTATATAGACAGTATTATCTATATCTTCATGTACTGAATAGATCAACGGACACTCACTGAAACACAACCCTGTTTGGAACAATTAAAACACATCTTAGCCTGACAAGAACAATATAACAATATATATTTCCCGATGAGAAAGTCCTACCCTCATTGCTGGTAATCCCTGCCATGAAGGCTTCACCGTTTAACTCAGCATCTTTCAATAGTTTTGTGGCATTACTTGGTACAAACAGTCCATCAATCACAGGCGAAATACAGAATTTCCCTGGAGCATTCTAAAAACAAAGTAAAGAACATATATAAAGAGGGAAACAACTAAGGGGACACCACTTCACGTGAGTGTTGTTTTATTTATTCTCAGATTTCCTCCCACAGCGCTGTTCAAAGCTGGTGATGAAAACTGGAAAATATTAAAGGAACACTTGAATTTTCCTGTGTTCCTCTATTTGTTTCTCTCAGTATATACTAGCCACATAAAGAAACTGTGCATACAAAAATTTAAAATCTAATTTATCAAACCTGTGTAGACACATAAGGATTTAAACTCAGAGATTAGTGACATGTATCTAACATGCATGCACGTGCCACGTTCCGTGACGTCAGTGGGTTCGTCTTTGAGACGTGCAATACGTTGTTGCACGTGCATTCCGGGAAAGAGAAACAGAGCAAATGAATGCCACACAATACTGTCACTTTGGAGAGCTCAACCCCTGCCCTTGCGATCGTTCAAAAAATTAAACGGCTATTGAAACGCATAGCATGCCAAGGCTCACGTCTGCACAAAGTCATGAGGCCATTGGGATGGTCCGTGGGGGAATGTCTCAACGACAAGTGGCTGCACATTTCCACTGCCACCGGAACACCATTTCTGCACTGGTGAGACGCTACCAGAACACAAATGACGTCATCGATCGGCCACGTTCTGGACGTCCACGTGTAACAACGCCAAGACAGGACAGATGGATAAAAAGGGTGACCCATCTTCGCCACAGGTTTCAGACTGCAGTGATGACTGCCCGAACCATCCCAGGACTTCGCCGTATCCACCCCAACACAGTTCGACAACGTTTACGTCATCACGGGATCAGACCACGACATCCCGCCATACGGCCTAACCTGACACAACGTCATCGACAAGCTCGCCGAATGTGGTGCCGAAATCATGTCCGCAGACCCTTGTTTTGGTGGAGAAATGTTGTTTTTACAGATGAGTCCAGGTTTAACATTTCCCATAGCGATGGACGTCAACGTGCCTATAGACGCGTGGGAGAACTTATGCACAGGCCTTTGTCTTTGAGAGGAATTGCTTTGGTGGTGGTTCCGTGATGATTTGGGGTGGAATAACAGCACGCCAAAGAACTCCTTTGGTGATTGTTCAGGGCAACTTAACTGGTGTGGGCTACAGGGATCAGATTCGTCGACCTGTGGCAATTCCTTTTCTGCAACGTCATGGCCCTGGGTTAACATTCCAACAGGACAATGCCCGCCCTCATACGGGAAGGGTTGCTATGGATTTCTTGCAACACCACAACGTTGACTTACTGCCTTGGCCTGCAAATTCACCGGATCTCTCCCCGATAGAGCATGTTTGGGACGAGATGGATCGACGTCTACGCCGTCTTCCTCATCTGCCAGATAACGTCCTTGACCTGGCAACAGAACTTGAGAGAATCTGACGTGACATCCTACAAGCCTTCCTTGCACGTTTGATAGGCTCTATGCGTCGTCGATGCACTGCTGTTCTCAATGCCAATGGTGGACATACCCGTTATTGAGCTTGTGACATGCTCGTTTGACCCCTGTCCCGCTTGTGGACTCGTGACGTCATTGTGATTGACTTTTCAATTGAAATTCTCCCGACTTGTTATGGTCTCATGATCCCTCCATTAAAGTTTATATGTACCTTTGACATTGTTATCGTTCTTATCAACTGGGATAATATTTTGACAATGCACAGTTTCTTTATGTGGCTAGTATATTATCATTGCAGTACGAGATAGGACTGCACGGTATTACCTGTATACCGATATATCGCAATACGTTATTTTCAAACGATACGCATTGCAATATTTTTTCTGAGAACCGATATATTGGGTAAATAACAAGTATGAAGTGTTTGTGATTTTCTTTATGGTTTAAATTAAAATCTACACAGACTTTCATTCACAACACATGTTTTCCTTCGTGTTTCAATTACTGTAATACTATATATTGTTTCAAAAGAAAATATAATCCCTGATTATGCAACCTAATTTTGAGAGTGAGTTTAGTTTCACGCCGCACTCAGCAATAATCCAGCTATTTTGCGTCTGTAAATAATCGAGTCTGGGTCAGACAATCCAGTGATCAACAGCATGAGCATCGATCTGCGAACCGATGGGAACCGATGACATGTGTCAACCAAGTCAGCGAGCCTGACCACCCGATCCCGTTAGTCGCCTCTTACGACAAGCATGGGTTACTGAAGATCAATATTCTTACCCGTACCTTCACAGGTGTGTTGTTATCAGAACCATAACATATATGTTTAGGGGCTTGCAGGGGTGGAAATAACCCATTGCCCGACGCCCGAGTCCAGTGTGTTTTTCTGTCGGGCAAGCAAATTTGTATATCACACTGTACTGGTGTCCGGTTGGCTTTCCAATATTAATTATGTTGTTTATTTAAAAAATCAACAAGAAAACGGCTGGTATAGTGGAAAAATTATCAGGGCAAGTGATTTTACATGTGCCACTGTACCGGAGTACACTAGCAATTTTAAAGTTATTTCCACCCCTGCCGGCTTGTAATGTAGAAAATATTGACATGCACAATTATTGTCACCAACTGTCAAACACGTAAGTTCCCAATACATCGCAATACGTATCACAATACGGGTACCACAATCGCAATATATTGCAATACAATTTATTTGCCAGTACACATCCCTACCAATGATTCTCACGAATTCCCTTTGTGCTATGCATTAGTTGGGTTTTAATTAAACTAAAGTTTTAATTTGCATGAAGGACATTTCATAGATCAACAGTTTCACCTACCGGGTACCATGTTGAGCTGATCGTTTGCCAGGGTAAAGCCTTAAGACATTGCTTGAAAGTGTACATATCCTCGGATGTGTAACAAGCAACCTTTTCACCAAACGTTAAAGCACTGGCTTTAGCTTTGTTAGTGTCTTTAAGCAGCGCCCAGTAGGCTGTTGGAGAACCGCTTTGCATAATGGCATAGCGGAAAAAACCTGCAAATGATTTGAATTCATTGTTGGTATAACCTACAAAATGATTAAATGATTTGTATTCATTTTTGTAAAACTTACAAAAAATATTTGGAATTCATTTTTTGTAAAACCTACAAAATGATTGAATAATTTAAATACATTTTTGTGATACTTACAAAATGATTTGAATAATTCATTTTGTTTAAAAAAATCTACCAAATGCAAATCAAAGTGGACTAAACGTAGACTCGGTTTTACAAGTAGGTACCTTTTGATAATGGCGATAATATATGAAAGCCCACATCTCCAGCCCCTGCGCTGTGACCTTCTACAGTGACCTTTGAAGGGTCTCCTCCGAAGAAGTGGATGTTCCTGGAAACCCATTTTAGTGCTGCAGCCTGATCCATGAGTCCAAAGTTACCAGGAAACTTCGGCCCACCGCTGAGAAAGCCTGGATTAAGGAATACAGAAATAGGTAAGCACTACAACATGATTGATGTGGGAAAGTTTCAAAAATGAGAATTTAAGTCTTATTAATGAGTTTCAATGTTATGAGTCACTGTGTCTTTGACCAACAGACGAAATATATATAATGCTAGTGAATGAGGGGTGTGTGTGTTGTTTAACTCCGCTTTAAGAATACTTTAGGTATTGAACCCACTGATCTAAGAATGTGTTCAAAGTAAGCCCTCGATACTGATAAAAGAAGGCGCTACGATATTCGTTTACTATATTTGTTTCCGATATTTGCCCTGAGATATATTAAAGTGTGAAAATATTTGCACTGCTCTTGCACACTTTCGTTACAGCTCTAATCAATTAATTATTGAAACTGGTAAATATATCAATAAGCCAAGGAATTTCAGATTATGAAACCTCTAACAACACAGGCAACACGTGCCTGTAGTTAACCCTCTAAAAACACAGGCAACACGGCCTGTAGTTAACCCTCTAACAACACAGGCAACATGGCCTGTAGTTAACCCTCTAACAACACAGGAAACACGGCCTGTAGTTAACCCTCTAACAACACAGGCAACACGGCCTGTAGTTAACCCTCTAAAAACACAGGCAACATGGCCTGTAGTTAACCCTCTAACAACACAGGCAACATGGCCTGCAGTTAACCCTCTAACAACACAGGCAACATGGCCTGTAGTTAACCCTCTAACAACACAGGCAACATGGCCTGTAGTTAACCCTCTAACAACACAGGCAACATGGCCTGTAGTTAACCCTCTAACAACACAGGCAACACGGCCTGTAGTTAACCCTCTAACAACACAGGCAACACGGCCTGTAGTTAACCCTCTAACAACACAGGCAACACGGCCTGTAGTTAACCCTCTAACAACACAGGCAACATGGCCTGTAGTTAACCCTCTAACAACACAGGCAACACGGCCTGTAGTTAACTCCCTAACAACAGAGGCAACGCGTGCCCGTAGATAGCTATATAGCCGTGTATAACAGTTGCAAAACGTGTGTAGTTAATCTTGAACTGATGAAATATTTGCTTGTGGAAAATTTGCATCAACTAGTGCAATATTTGCTTTCAGTTACCTAAACGCCCACTGAAGAAGTACGTGCTGGAGGTTAACCAAGCATATACTGAGGCATGTTGTTTTTCACTACCCACTGGAAAAAATGTCGCTTCAAATTACTTACCAAGAGTCGAAAGTCTGTAATTGAAATTCACAACGATGATTTCTCCCTGCGCTGCCAAGATACTTCCATCGAACATAGCACCCATTCCATATTCGTTTGAACCGCCATGAATGTGTACGAGTACTGCCATCTTGCCATTAGCACCACCTGTCTATAGAAAGGAGCGACTACTGTGATCTCATGGGTGTGATACAATACAAACGTAACTAATATATTTTGCAATAAAAGTCCCTTGATGTGTTGTACCTAGCCGGCTAGGGACGGGACGGGTTGGGGAGGGGGGTTAGAGAATCCCACGAAAATATGACATAGCGAAAGACAGGGGTCGTCAACATTTATCACAACTTTGTTGTCACTAAGGGAGGGGCCTTTTCAAGTGAGGCGGTTCCAAATGTGAACAGTATTTCGGGAATGATCATTTATTACAAGGAATCATGGGTTATGGAATGTATCACATGTGTTGGGGCGTCATAAAAACAATCTGTTCCAAGAAGTTGAGGGTCGTTAAATTAACATATGCACCAAACACCAATCTCACCGACCATAATTCAGCGCCAGTTTCATCCGCACCTGCTAATAAATTACCAATCCCTAACAAAAGCCAGACATCTTCCTATTATTTGCGGTGAGTGAGTGTGTTTAGTTTTACGCAGCACCCAGCAATATTCCAGCTATATGGCGACGGTCTGTAAATAATCAAGTCTGGATCAACAGCATGAGCATCGATCTACGCATTTGGGATACGATGACATGTGTCAACCAAGTCAGCGAGCCTGACCACCCGATCCCGTTGGTCGCCTTTTACGACAAGCATGGGTTACTGACGATCAACATTCTAACCCGGACCTTCACGGGTCTATTATTTGCGGAGTGACCCAGAAGGGTTTGACACCGCTTTAAAACGATGTTTCAGCATTTTGGGCGAGGAATATCCGAAATCAGTCACAATATAGCCGTCTATGACTAAGGTAGACACCAAGAGCATTGCTGTTGCGCTGAAAAACTCAATATGGGATTCGAACACATGATTAAAACATTGTTCATCACGAATAACAGGGGTAACTATTGAGGTTAGATTGCAGCATAATAGACGACCGAGTCTTTCCTGTCAGATTTTATTTATAAAGACATACTGGAGTCTTGAAACAGAATATTTTGAAAAGTGGTGGATAGATTGAGTGAGTGAGTGAGTTTAGTTTTACGCCGCACTCAGCTATATGGCGGCGGTCAAAAAATCGACCATACAACCCAGTGATCAACAGCATGAGCTTCGATCTACGCAGTTCGCATACGATGACATGTGTCAACCAAGTCAGCGAGCCTGTCAACCAGATCCCTTTAGTCGCATCTTACGACAAGCATGGGTTGCTGAAGATCAATTCTAACCAGGATCTTTATGGGTAGTGGTAAGTGGTGGATACAAACTGTCTGACACGATAACACTGAAACGTACCTGCGGAACGTATACATTCATGTACAGGCAGTCCTCATCACTGTGATTGAAAGACGGGACGTGCATGTGAACATACTTCCAAGAAATCTGTGGGCATGCAGGAGGAGTGAGGAACGCATCTCGTGTCCCCTCCCATGTGGCAGGTTCCTCGGGGTTCTGTAACGAGTAGCAAAGGCCGATAAATGGATACGTTGTCTTGCTGGTGTTCACATGTGTGCTCAGATGACCCCATATTGCTGTAAATCCTAACTATTCCCCTCTAAATGTCTGTCTTTATGAGGTCCTGTTCAACTCAAGTCAGTTTATTGACGGAGGCTTTAAACGAAGGGCAAGGGCAAGGTCGACATCAGAATAAAGAACGATAACTGTGATCTGCACACAGTGTAGCACCCAGACATCAATGCGGAATTATATTGTTCGCGTTGAGAATTTGTAGGGCATAAAGTCAGAAGGCAAGCACATTTTAGTGTCTTTATGATTTCTGTCTCTTCGAGGAAAGGTGCTAGACTGACAATTAGTTTCAGCAATGCAGTTATCGTATTTAAAAATATTTTTTAAAGAATAATTACAAAACAAATTTAAATGGAGCAAAGAACAATTTTTAATTTCTGGTCAATGGCAATACACACTTTCCGAATCATTCTACACTGGAGCCGGACTCCTCTAGTCTCTAGGAGACAAACTATAACGGCGCCACACATTACGACTCTAAAGGGTCACAGATGGCACACCCGGAGCATCTTACATACATCTAGATAGATATCGGCCCCAATTCATTAAACTGACGAAGCTAAACTATTAACTTCATGTGGATTTTCGAAAAATGGTCTCCGAAAAGGTTTCGAATGTGGTCAAGTGCAGTGTGGTCAAAGGGTCATGGGATATCTCCGTTTCGTACATGGCATATACATATAGCTCTATTTTATAACATCTGTAGTTCATGTATGCTTAACTAATATGCATCCTGTGTGTACCTATTGTGTTTATTTGAATAAAGTGTTACCCTCGGAAAAAATCCCGTTTTTGGTTATAAACGAAAATCGTTTCAGCATGACCTTTCGTACGTAAATCTACCGAGGTCACGATTGACCAATCAAAGGTCAACCTTGTCGTAGACGCGTGCGACGTAAGCATTAAGTGTATCACAAAGGTCTCTTCACCTTACACAATGTCGTAAAAACATGTAATGTATCAATGTCTCACCTCAAATCGGAGTTCTCCTACAGGAGGTGCTGCATAGGGAATGCCGAGGTATCGTTCAACCTTCTTAAAGTCCAGCACAGTTTTAACAGTGCCTCTGATCAGACCATAATGGGTATCTCGATAGACAAATGATTCATCCACGACGTTCACATCTTCGTTCTTGCAAAGCATTGCCAAGTAGGCACCCATCAACACTCTTGTCCACAAACGTGGCATCTTCAAGCTACAATTTATGAAAACTCTTTACACAATAATAAATAAAATAAAATGCAAGTCGTTATAATTTATGGTAGAACTTACGTTTCTTTGTTTGTGTGCATGTTCGTGGTTTGTTTTCGCAGTATTCCGGCTGTAGGACGGCTGACTTGAAAATCTAGTGACTGATATTATGAGCATCTATCTAAACAAATAAACAAATTGGTGTAGATCGTTATCCATTCCGTTGATCACTGGATTGTTTGGTCCAGATTTATATATCGCCATCATAGCTGGAATATTGCTATTGTATAAACAACAATGAGTGAGTTTTGGTTTTACGCCGCTTTTAGAAATATTCCAGTGGGGGACACCAGAAATGGGCTTCACATATTGTACCCATGTGGGGAATCGAACCCGGGTCTTCGGCGCGACAAGCGAACGCTTTAACCACTAGGCTGCCTCGTTAAACACCAAACAAGCTATAACGACAATGACGGTTTAACACATATAGTAAACACCGCTGTTCAATGGAAATACGTAAATACTTCTAGTTACCCAGAGTTCGACTTATGACTAACAACAAATGTCATCGGATCCCAATTGCGTAGATCGATGTTCATGCAGCTGATCACTGGAGTGTTTGTTCCAGACTTGATTATTTACAGACCGGCGCCGTATAGCGGGAATACTGATGAGTGCGGCGTTAAACTAACCAACCACGACTATTAATGAATACGCCTTACTTCGCGAAAACCGTATGTTCAACACAACACAATTCGACACAACGACGCTTTACTGTATACATGTAATAGACATCTGAAAGCAACTATTCAAAGCTTGGTGTACATTAAGAATCAAACGATTCCCAATTGTGATCTGCAAATCATAAATGTTACTATCAGCCACTCGTATTCTTCAAATACTTTGATGGTGTCATGATAAACTCTGTAGTAAACTCTATTGCTGATATATCATGGCGTACATCAACATTCATTCTGTCAATGTCTTTAAAAGCGCATTTCAGGAAAATGTATAAACGTAATGAAGGATATCTAGCGATTATGATAATTTTATTGATAAAACACTCGACGCATTCTTAAGGTTGAAATCAGTGATTATGTGAGACCCTGCCTCTTGCAAAAGTAGGGCAACCATGTGTAATTGGGACAATTATGTCAAATTATGATAAATAATGACATCTCGTGTAATACACACCATAAACAAACAAAAGTGAATTGATTAACTTGAATATGTTGGCTGAGACAGGTTTAAGCCCATTCCACCTTTAAAGGGGTCAGGTCTTAAGGGTCAGGACAAATTGGCAGTCCGAGCCATTTTGATTCTAGTCATTCAAGTCCCATTCGGTTAGTGGCTTACTTAATTGTATTGTGAATATCCAAAAGGTGTTAAGCACCCCTAAATATGTTCACACACAAAACATATTCAGGTTTAGTTTGTGTATCATTATACCTGTAATAATAATGTTTATTTAAGACATTTTTGCAAATGTACTTGGCGGAAAGTTTCTCCCAAACACATCCATAGCATGTCCAGAAGCAAACCTACAAATTTTAACACATTCCTTTTGTGCAGTCGGAATTTAATCTGCAGGGGGTACAATGTTCAATCATTTTGCCGCCACTATGGTACGATGAAGATTTTCAGATGGCCAGATTATCAGATGGGAAATTATTGGTATGCAGAACTCCGGTATTTCCTTTAAAGCAGTTGGTCGGGAAAAGAATGTCCACTACACATTTGCCAGTCGTTTTGGTAAAAAATACAGGGAAGCCAATGAGGTGGAGGATCGCCAAAGTTCTGGACGACCCAGGGTGACGTCACGTCGTGAAGACAGGCACTATTGAGTGCCACAAGCACTGTTCTGAAGCACCACTGGTTACCATTTTGCCGGGTCTCCACAAGAGCAGTCCGGAATCGCCCAAGGACAGTCGGGTACTCTAGTGAAAGTCGATTCCTTCTTCCTGCACATGATGGACGCCTGAGAGTTTGGAGGCAGCGAAGCGCAGCATTTGCAGAAAAATAACTTTCAACTAACTGCTGTCTTTGATGGGGGTTCCGTCATGGTGTGGGGTGTGTCTCATGACTGTACACTTGGAAACAATACGTAGGAATCTGACGGGTGATCAGTATATCCAGGAAATGCTGGATCCAGTTGTTGTCCTCTATTGTAATAACCATCCCCTTGCTACCAGACCTGTATCTATTGGTGACAACGCTAGACCACGCCGTTCAGCAGTGACAGCTCTCATTCAGAATAATGTCGTGACTCATCTTCCATGGCCCGCTATAAATGCAGACCTGAATCCCCTGGCGCTCATTGGGACTTTATCGGGTATAGGTACGTGTATCGGCTATTCAAAATCTGCGTCAGCTGGAAGCAGCTTTGCAGCATGAATGGTGACAGTTTCTTCTGAAATGGATACGACGAAGGGGTATGCGGCGTAGGGTACAGGCAGTTATCCAAGCATGTGGAGGGTGCAATAGATATTGATTGTATGACATTCCCAGCTTACAAATAAAAGTTTTTGTCTCATGACATAAACGCCATGCTACCCGGTTTTCTTTCCATATTTGTAACAGGGGTCTAGGGCTATCTGCCCCCGGACTACTGCCGACTTGTCATAGGGGGCAATTAGCCTAGGGGCAGTGGTCCGGTGGGCACAATGGACGGGGGCAGATAGCCAGGGGCAGTTGTCGGGGGCAGTTGTCCGGGGGCAGTTAGCCTGATACTAGACTAACAACTAGTCTCTGAAATGAACATATTTAACTGAAAAAAGTTCATAGTAAAAAAAAAATATATATAATGAAAAGGAGCCCTGAGACTTTCTTCATTTTCAGCCTGAAGCTGAGGAAATCTAGACTTGCCACATTTTCTAGACTTGTGTGGGCTTTCTTGGATATATTTGCTTCAGGGTCTGTACGAGAGACTAGCCTGATATCTGTAACAGGTTACCGTATCATTTTGAGCTAAACCAGATGATTGTATTGTGCCATATCCATTATTAAAACGTTGAACTGTCCTTTAGTGTTTTCTTGTCGTCAAGACAGGATCTTAAAGAAAAACATGCACCTTTACCAACGTACTGTGCGTGCACACCTCTGACGTTAGTCGAAATATGCAGCCTTGTAATAATTACAGGGGGTGCTTAAAATTTTTCAGGTGTATATAGAGCAAACAGAGGAACAAAGTCTCCCTTTGAAAATGAACGTTGGAAAATACACTGTCCAGTCAATCCAGTCTCACGCTGGGCTCCTGCGCTGTGGCAGTTGTAGTCCTGCTAGGAAATAGGTTGTGATAACCTTCTATGATCTGAGAGAGCATTATCTTCAAACATGAAATACGATCTTAACCATGGCAATGTGTGACGACAGTATCAGGATAAAATCGAGAACCATCACACATTCTGTGCATCACCTACTCGGCATATCACTAAATCGATCTAGACGGGAGTAATAATGGGAAGTTACAGCATTACAACGAATGAGAAAGACGAATCAATAACTCACGTCTCGCTGGTATTACATCACCTTTCCTGCATCATCCAGCCAGCTAGGACCGGATATAAATATCAGCAGAATGTAATGCATCCGCATACCTCCCATACCTCCGTCTACGGAAACCACGTTCGACAAGCGAAATGTCAGGTTGTTCAATTATGAGAACGGTTACATACAAACGCTTCTGTAGTACACATTATCGGAATCTGTCCACCTTATTAAGAGACTGATCGCCAGCGCGCGTTACATGAGTGTCATATTGCTCTCGGAAGCATTCTGCTGTACGAGTTACTGTAATATTATTACTCTCGAAGGCATTGCTCAATGCATGCTGCGGAAATGTAGTGTCACTGTATATGGGGTATAGCTCCTACTTTCGGCTTACACAAAGTTCCAATGTAATAGACAATTTAGTAGAAGGAATATAAGTCGCCCGATATTTGTAACAGTTATGCAATGAAAGCAAAGGCGCCCAAAGGGACGTAACTCTCAATTTCCATCGTGTAAGGATTACACTAATACATAAACAAAGACAACGATATGTAAACATGACGTCATCATAGATTGGGAACAGTGTGGCGATATCCTAAAATACACATAGGTGTTTCTTCCTTCACGATAAACCCATGTCCTCAAATAATCACCAGTGTTCCTTCCTTCACCATATACTCATGTCCTCAAATAATCATCAGTGTTCGTTCCTTCACCATATACTCATGTCCTCAAATAGTCACCAGTGTTCCTTCCTTCACGATCAACCCATGTCCTCAAATAATCATCAGTGTTCGTTCCGTCACCATATACTCATGTCCTCAAATAATCATCAGTGTTCGTTCCTTTACCATATACCCATGTCCTCAAATAATCACCAGTGTTCGTTCCTTCACCATATACCCATGTCCTCAAATAATCATCAGTGTTCGTTCCTTCACCATATACTCATGTCCTCAAATAATCATCAGTGTTCGTTCCTTCACCATATACCCATGTCCTCAAATAATCATCAGTGTTCGTTCCTTCACCATATACCCATGTCCTCAAATAATCATCAGTGTTCGTTCCTTCACCATATACTCATGTCCTCAAATAATCATCAGTGTTCGTTCCTTCACCATATACCCATGTCCTCAAATAATCATCAGTGTTGGTTCCTTCACCATATATTCATGTCCTCAAATAATCATCAGTGTTCGTTCCTTAACCATATACCAATGTCCTCAAATAATCATCAGTGTTCGTTCCTTCACCATATACCCATGTCCTCAAATAATCATCAGTGTTCGTTCCTTCACCATATACTCATGTCCTCAAGTACACATAAGCGTTCCTTCCTTCACGATAAACCAATGTCCTCAAATACACTGTAGCTATGATGCTAGGTGTTCTGTTTCCTTCTCAGTGAACATATGCCTTCTAATACACTGTAGATATGATGCTAGGTGTTCTGTTTCCTTATAAGTACACCCTTGTCCTCTAATACACTGTAACTATGATGCTAGGTGTTCTGTTTCCTTTCAGTACACCCATGTCATACACTGTAGCTATGATGCTAGGTGTTCTGTTTCCTTTCAGTACACCATGTTCCTCTAATACACTGTAGCTATGATGCTAGGTGTTCTGTTTCCTTCTCAGTAACCATGTCCTCTAATACACTGTAGCTATGATGCTAGGTGTTCTGTTTCCTTCTCAGTGAACATATGCCCTCTAATACACTGTAACTATGATGCTAGGTGTTCTGTTTCCTTCTCAGTAAACCAATGTCCTCAAATACACTGTAGCTATATGATGCTAGGTGTTCTGTTTCCTTCTCAGTGAACATATGCCTTCTAATACATTGTTACTATGATGCTAGGTGTTCTGTTTCCTTTTCAGTGAACATATGCCTTCTAATACACTGTAGCTATGATGCTAGGTGTTCTGTTTCCTTCTCAGTACACCCTTGTCCTCTAATACACTGTAGCTATGATGCTAGGTGTTCTGTTTCCTTCTCAGTACACCATGTCCTCTAATACACTGTAGCTATGATGCTAGGTGTTCTGTTTCCTTCTTCTACACAGTACACCCTAGGTGTTCTGTTTCCCTCTAATACACTGTACACTGTATGATGCTAGGTGTTCTGTTTCCTTCTCAGTGAACATATGTCCTCTAATACACTGTAGCTATGATGCTAGGTGATGTTTCCTTCTCAGTACACCCTTGTCTAATCTGTGTTTCCTTCTCAGTACACCCTTGTCCTCTAATACACTGTAGCTATGATGCTAGGTGTTCTGTTTCCTAATCTCAGCTATGACACCCTTGTACACCTCCCTCTAATACACTGTAGCTATGATGCTAGGTGTTCTGTTTCCTTCTCAGTACACCCTTGTCCTCTAATACACTGTAGCTATGATGCTAGGTGTTCTGTTTCCTTCTCAGTACATCCTTGTCCTCTAATACACTGTAGCTATGATACTAGATGTTCTGTTTCCTTCTCAGTGAACATATGCCTTCTAATACACTGTAACTATAATGCTAGGTGTTCTGTTTCCTTCTCAGTGAACATATGCCTTCTAATACACTGTAACTATGATGCTAGGTGTTCTGTTCCTTCTCAGTGAACATATGCCTTCTAATACACTGTAACTATGATGCTAGGTGTCTTTTTTCCTTATCAGTGAACATATGCCTTCTAATACATTGTTACTATGAAGCTAAGGTTTCTTTTTTCTTCTCAGTATACGCTTGTCCTCTAATACACTGTAGGTCTGATGTTAAATGTTCTGTTTCCTTCTCGGTACAGGCATGCCATCTAATACAATGTTACTATGATGCTAGGTTTTCTGTTTCCGTCTCAGTACACCCTGTCCTCTAATACACTGAAGCTCCGATGCTAGGCGTTATGTTTCCTTCTCAGTTAATCCATATCATCAAAATTAGCAGCTGCGATAGTAGGACCCCATCTTCCTTATAAATAAACGCATACATACTATTTACTCCATTTATTTAAGATAGTAGCTGTTTCGTTTCTTCTTTTATCTCAGTAGACACATGTCCACTAACGACAGATTTTGTTCTTATGTTTCAGGGGAAAATAACAATGTCTTAATGCATGGCAGCTGTGGTCGTAGGTTCTAGCATGCACTGTATGTCGGCTAAAATACATGAAGTCTTCCAGAGATGCCACCAATGCCCTAACACCCTGGCGTTAAACCAGTTTCAACTATTCACCATTCTGTCCTGTGTGTAACCGTTTTTAACAGGCTGTCACTGTCTTTCGTATATCACAGATTTGAGGTTTGTCCAGTCAGCATTTATAATGTATTAAACATACTAACCTATACCTCGCTATATACTACCAGTTATCTCACCTACCTCAGAGTTTCCGTACCTCATTTTCACTGCAGGATCAATAGACGCTACACCGTCCTCCCAGTACGCCTGTTTGTGTGTAGCTTTAGCCAGATCAATGCCATGAATGACTGGTTGGGTTTAAAGCATTGATTGCAATTGTGTCGTTGATTGGGGGAGAGCATTGTTTACACTTTATTGAACAAACACATGTAAATGCGGACACTGTATACTTATATATACAGAGCAATGAGAGAGGCATGCTTAGAAACAATTTCAGTGTGGTCTGTGTAAATGATCCTATGGTCACGGGGCCTACGAGACGCTACGAGAGGCGACGAGAGTCCAATGCAAAACGGCGAGAATGGTCCTGGAGATTGCTTTTCTGTCCATTTTCAGACAAGCGTGAAGTATGCTTATATTCCCAGATCTACGATAGAGGTTATTTTGAGAAAAAACAACACAAGACTGTTGTAAGAATGAATCAATCAATTACCCCTACCATGCCCATAATGTCCTATATTTGTACCGAAAAAACACATTAAAATGTTGGAAACGCCCATCAGCAATTGTATGTGTACTATGACATGGCGTGTTAAGAAAAATTAACAGTTTTAAATCAAATTGTATTTTGGAAAATCAAAACAGCTGGAAGTATGTGTATTTGGTGCTAACTAAGGGACAGTTCATAATTTATGATGATTTTAAAGCTAGGGGGTGTCAGCAATTTTGTACAGACGTATTGGGGGGCGGGGTCAGCATTTTTGTACATAAATATAGGTTTGAAATTATGCTTAGAAATTATGGGAAGGGGAGGCGGGTTGTCATTGATTTTGTACATGATTTGCAGGGGGGGGGGTCACTTACTTTGTACATACGTTTTAGGGGTAGCCATTCACACTGTACATGTTTCTCCATAAAAATCATCATCACCCCCCTAGCCATAAATTGTAAACGGTCCCTAAGCGCCAATACAGTTGACTTTTCATATACTAGTATACGTAGTATAGGTAACTTAAGATACTTTGAATTAAAAATCAAACATCGAGGCATGGTTTATGTATGATAAAATCTATAAACCCCTGCATTGACCCCTGGCTTCTGTTAGCTCATTGCCATCACCATTCAGCCCCACATTGTTAGTGACTTTCCTTGTGCCTCATTTTGCAGCAAACTGACGCAGGTGCATGCAGGTGTAATGAGGTGAGAGTGCGGGCGGGGTAGACAAATGCTGTTCTGGTCAATTATCTCCAAGAAGAAGCGGCTTCCGCTGTCAGCGAGGTCGGACGTGTTGACATCTGCTCTCACTGTTCAGGCATATATGTTTCATTCCTATCTTTTGAAATTAAATATACCAATAATAGTATCAAGGTAAGTTTAGAACAAGGTCAGTTTAATATACTGGCTTATTTTGCCATATTGTCCTTTTTTTCTGTTTGGCGAAGTGCTGTTGCACGGACTTCTCGCTCCATGTGGCAAGTCTTAGTTTTCGCTGGTTGTGTTGTGGCGAATACTTTGTTGGTCGTTGATATGGATAGTGATATTAACGGGGATGGGGGTGATGATATCTTAAATACATTCGAGGAAACATCTACCGATGGATATCACAATGATATCCAAAAATCGTAAACACCATGACTTGTGTCAGAATGACTGTCTACCATGACGTGTCTCAGAATGACTGTCTAGTTGATATCCCATTCAAGTGTGTAGTTTTCGTCAGTTGATCCAAGACAGTCTTAAAATTTGAGTCCACTCTCTTTGGCTCGTGACATTTAGATCCACTGTTGATTACCCTGGCACCAGCAAACCACGTGATCGAGGCATTCACATAAGCGCGGGAAAAGCACGAAAACGGTGAGCCACGTGTAGAAGACCCGTAACATCGAGATTTGTGTAGTCTGTCTCGTACACATGAGTTTGTAAACACATAGAAACATATTATGAATTTGAGTTTGATCAGATAGTACAAAGATATCATTTATAGAGT